GTCAAAAATAAAAAGTACAACCTCCCCCGAAACTTTTTTCTGGCTACGCCACTAAATGTTACTATTAGTTTCTAGGTTATAGCAGTCCGTGATATTAACATTTAGTTGAATAAAACTGTTTTCTTTTTTTTCTATTCAATAGCATTTTCCTTATGTAAACATATATAGTTATACAGCACAAAATCCAAGAACATCCAAGAATCATCTTGGATGTTTTGAGAGTTTCCTAGATCATGAGTACATTTAATCTTAGAATATTTTGTACTATTTGAGATTATACAAAATGTCTGACGCAAAGGATATAAAAATGACGTATAGGATTTTTTATCCAGTTTGATTTAATCTATGAACACAAGACTAAGTGTATACTATTATAACTTATCTATAGTATCGCGCGTATTATTTGCCGATATTCTTTAATTAATAACACAAAATTTTACATGGTTATTTACAAAATAATAGACTAATATTGTATTCAATTTAATCTAATCTACATGTACATGAAGTATGGGAACATTTTGCGTCAGATTCCTTATATAATGTGACCATATACAAACAAAATTCATATATACTTATATAATTTTATATGATTATATATATATGGGGCATTCTCTGTCAAAAAGACCCCCTCTGCCCAGAATTTATTTGCACGAAAAAATTTCTGTTGAGGCTTAAGTGTTAGCTTAATATCTCTATTTTAATGTACCGTGGGGCCTTTTTCGAAAAATCAATATGGTGGACCTAAAACGGCGCTTTTAGTGAAAAGAGTGTTGTAAAAAAATATTTGCTTATTGGAAAAGCACTAAGAAAAAATTCTTTTTGTTATGCGGTTTACATATACTTCTAAGACCCATACTGATATTAGAAAAATTCAAAATAAATAAATCAAGATGGCGGCAAAAAAGTGGAAAAGCACGAAATAATAGATATTTCCTACACAATTTCTGACAGTAAAAAACAAACTATTTCTAGGTGGTATAGTATACCATCATGGTTAGGTAATTTTATCCTCAGTTTTAGTTCTTTAATAATGTAGTTAATTAAAAATAGCTGATGGACCTATAAGGTCCATCAGCTATAAAATGAGTTTATACATAAAATGTATATACTCACACCTAAATTTGTAATTTGAACTGTAGACATAAATTTTTAAATAAAGAAGAGTACTATTTGAGAATTTTGACTTGAGACTTATGGAATCGAATAGTTGGATCCAGGACCAAAATGTGCTAAAGCCATTAAAAATATTTTATATTTTATGAAATATTCTCCTCACAAATTTTCATAACAATATAACCAAACTTTGATAATTTGATTACTGATTTTCTTTTAGATTATGTCGCCATATTGGATACGTCACTTTTAATTAACTATATTATCAAAGGATTAAAATTGTGAATAAAATTATCTAGGTACTAATACCATCTAGAAACAGTCTGCATTTTGTTGTAAAAAATTGTGTACCAAGGAAATATCTATCATTTCGTTTCTATTTTTTCCACTTTGCCGCCATCTTGGTTTATTCGTTTAAAATTTTTCTAATATCAGTATGGGTGTTAGAAGTATATATAAAACCGCATAACAAAACAGAATTTTTTCTTAGTGTTTTTTGTAAAACTTTTCCAATAAGCAAATATTTTTTTACAACATTCTTTTCACTAAAAGCGCCGTCTTAGGTCCGCCATATTGATTTTTCGAAAAAGGTCCCACGGTACATTAAAATAGAGATATTAAGCTAACATTTAAGCCCCAACAGAAATTTTTTCGTGCAAATAAATTTTGGCCAGAGGAAGGGGTGTTTTTGACAGAAAATGCCGCGTGTGTGTGTGTGTATATATATATGTATATACAGGGTGTCTTGCAACTACCGTAAAATATTTTAATAGCGTATTTTGAAGATAAAGTAGAGTAAAAAATTCTAATACAAAAATGTCGAGGCTATAATAGTTTTTCAATTATAACCGATTACAGAGATTACCAGTAATATCGCGTAGAATTCGCGCGCTCAGGCCTGTAATTATACAGCATGCACAACGTTTTATCATTTCTTATCGACTTCACGGTTAATATTGATTTTTATTACACAGCTGATTCCTAAAAACATTAATAATTATTATTGTTAGAATTATTACATTTAATAGTTTCTACACTTAAGTAATAAAGGATTTTTGCGTTTTTAACATGAAAAGTAATCATGGAAAATAATTTATTATTATTTTTGTTTTTTTCACGTTTTATGAGGAATGAAATCGTATAATTCTAATAAATCAAGGAAATAAAGTTAATTTGTCCATATTTCTTCCAAATAATTTAAATTTTTACTAAAATTATTATAAGATCAGAATTAATATTCGCTTTGACCGAATTAAGATCCGCTTTGATGCTTTCTTCATTTATCAATTTTTATCAATCTTCGTAATTTTTTTTAGAAACAAACAAATTTTTTTAGAAACAAACAAATTTTTGTTAAAGAAACTTTAGACTTAATAATTTTTTGTAAATGGAATAATTGGAGGAATTGATATATTTATATTTATATTTTAATGAAAATAAAGGATAAAATAATTTGTTTATAATATACAATTTGTTAATAATAATCTTTTTTTAATGCATAACAACAATAATAACTTCTTAACATCTGAATATGTGATGAATACGTGATCTAAGCTAAGTCAAACATAGAAAGTCACAATATTATAAGTTTTAAATCACATATTTTTTATGTATATATTTTATCGCATATATTTTATAATCAAATATTTTATATTAACAAAATTAAAATTTTATAAGGAAAAATTTTATAAGACAAAAGTATTTGTGTTAATAATAATCATATATTTTTAATATTTTTTTGGGCCATTTATAAAAGCTGTTCAAAATGTCCTTGTATACATAATTGTACTCGTCTTAATAAATTACGACAAGAATTTTTTATTATTTCATTAATGAATGTTGCCAATCCTTGGCTTATATGTTTTGCCAGCAAGGTTAAATACATATTTATAACAAACGAGTTACAATAATTACTTGAAGATGTGCCATTAAATGAACGATTAAATATGATTTTTCAACATCTCCTGACTTTACAAGAAGAGTCCAAAATATATTAAACGAAACATATCCAAATCAATGGATTGGACGTAACGATCCAATTAATTGGCCACCAAGATCCCCAGACATAATGCCAATAGACTTCTTCTGGGGGACATTTAAAACAATATATTTATCAAGGTGAACCAATTAAAAATGAAGAGGAATTGTATAATCGCATTAACCAAAGGTTAGCAACATTCACTAATGAAATAATAAAAAATTCTGATCATAATTTATTAAGCCGGGTACAATTATGTATAGAATCGGATGAAGGACATTTTGAGCAGCTTTTCTAAATGGCCCAACAAAATATTAAAAATATATGATTATTGTTAACACAAATACTTTTGTCTTATAGTTTTCTTATAAAATTTTAATTTTTTTAATATAAAATATTTGATTATATCAACATAAAAAATATGCGATTTGAAACTTGTAATATTTTTATTTTCTATGTTTGACTTAGCTATGATCATATATTCATCACGTAATCAAATAATAATATTAAGAAGTTATTATTGTTATGTATTGAAAAAGATTATTATTAACAAATTGTATATTATAAGCAAATTATTTTATCCTTTACTTTAATAAAAATTTAAATATTTTATCAATTACTCCAATTATTTTATCTACAAAAAATTATTAAGTTTAAAGTTGCTTTCAAAAAAATTAGTCTGATTCTAAAAAACTTATAAAGATTGATAAAGATTGATAAATGAAAAAAGCGTATTCGGTCAAAACGGATCTTGGTTCGGATCTTACAATAATTTCATTATATCAAGATTTTAGTATAAATTTAAATTGTTTAAGAAATGTGGACAAATTAACTTTATTTTCTTGATTTATTAGAATTATACGATTTTACTTTTCACAAAACGTAAAAAAAACGAAAATAATAATAAATTATTTTCCATGATTACTTTTCATGTTAAAAACAAAAATCTTTTGTTACTCAAGTGTAGAAACTATTAAATGTAATAATTCTAACAATAATAATTATTAATGTTTTTAGGAATCAGCTGTGTAATAAAAATCAATATTAACCGTGAAGTTGATAAGAAATGATAAAACGTTGTGCATGCTGTATAATTACAGGCCTGAGCGCGCGAATTCTACGCGATATTACTGGTAATCTTTGTAATCGGTTATAATTGAAAAACTATTATAGCCTAGACATTTTTGTATTAGGATTTTTTACTCTACTTTATCTTCAAAATACGCTATTAAAATATCTTACGGTAGTTGCAAGACACCTTTTATATATATATATATATATATATATATATATATATATATATATATATATATATTTACATTCTCCTCTTTTATATATATTTTATATATATTTACATTCCTCTTTTGTTCGAATTACCACGCAATAAGGATGAAAGTCTTCTCGAACGCGAGATGTATCGCTCCAACGCGTTGGTGAATATGGTGTAATTTAAAAAATATCTTCCACGTGCGACATCTTTTCATTTCTATTTCCCTCCCTTCCCCCTCCCATGCTCTTCATGACACATCGCTAGTATAAATACAGACATAGAAAAGGAAATATAAAGAATACGGCCTCTCCGGGATAATTACGAGAGCAAGTGTCTGTGTCTGTACGTGTATGTGGTATGTCCGTATGTTTTTAGGACGCGGTTAGGACCTTGCTCGTGCATTCTTTCTTCCTTTGTTATATTTTGACTAATTTCCTTTGACGCTATTGATTACGCATAATTATATGCATGTCGCAATAGTTTCTCCTTCAAATGTAACACTTTTTTGTTTGTCGCATTTTTTTGCCTAGTTATCTGGATTCCAATGATAAATTGAGGGAAGACACATTGTGATTCGCAACATGAGATTTAAAGACGCGCGAAGTCGTGACCGCGCCCTAATACAATGGGGGGTCTTACCAAGGGGCTGGCCAATATTATTCCTATCCTGCTGAGCACCGCTGGGAGCCGCTGCAACATCACAGACACCAAACAAAGAGACTTACTCACCAACATTTCCACCAACCAAATTCTTACTAATCGTGTTTATAACAGAAACAGACAGACAGACAGACAGAGAGAGACAGAGAGAGACAGAGACAGACAGAGAGAGAGAGAGAGACAGAGAGAGACAGAGAGAGAGAGAGAGAGAGAGAGAGAGAGAGAGAGAGAGAGAGAGA